ATGGTTCTTTATCATAAACAACAATTCTGGTTTTATTGCATCAGAGCCTTTTCCAGAACTGCTGTGCAGCACGCTACAAACAGTAAGTTTGATGGATTATCAAGGCTCAGGAAGGGAAATAAAGGCAAATAAAATGGTTTAGGATGTTTGTCAAAGTGATAGCTGGAAGTCGTGTGCCTCGTGCACTCTTAGTAACCTCCTGAGTAGCACAACTCAGCATCACCGCTGATGAATACTTGCTGTCAACAGCAGATAAATTGATTTGCTTGGGAAGAGCCATGCCGTGTGATGTCCTCCTAGATAAAACAAACACTGACTATTCCACCCCAGCTGTGGTTTTTGAAGTCTCTGAGTGACACTGGGAGAAAAAGGATTACTGACCTGGCAACAGAATTGAAAATCCATTAAAATAACAGTGTTGAGCTCTTTGTTCTGTGCGTGATCACCTCATTCAGAAGCTCGATCACATGTGTCTAACTGGCCTTTGAGAGATGGTGAGAATTTGTTGTTCATAAGAGCCTTTGAAGATGCTGCACTCTTGAACAGAGCGAATACACTGAATGTCTTGGTAGACAATAGTAAAAATAGTTGGTAAAAATAATGTAGTTGCCTAATTGATGCCATGTTCTCCAGCAGGCACTCTTGGGGATGGTTTAGGAAAACCCTTCACATAGGTAAGCTAAAGGCTGTCCGAAGTCTAATCTAAAAAAGAAAAGAAGAAGAAAAAAAAAGTGGAATGTCCTTTGGCAGGAGGAAGGGAGAGAAGAGCAGCATATTCCTCTATCAGTAGCCATGGAATGAAAATCAGTTGCTGATGCCCTACTTAAAACAGTTTTTGTTCAACTGGCTGGAGAAGAAAGAGCCGAAGGAACTGAGGGAAAGACTGACCTGTAGGTTAATCTGGTTGGAAAAGTATTTCTTGGACGTGTGTTTTATGGTTGCGTTAAGACTAGAGTCGGAATTAAAGTAGGGAAGAAAGTGTTGACAGTGATGGACAACCACAATTGTCAGGAATATTTTAGGAGAGATTCGAAACATATGTGAGGAGCTAGATAAAGCTACCTGCCGATGTTCCACGTGTTCCACCTCTGCTTACACTGAGCAGAGCAGGATGTTCTTGGATTGTGCTGTGGTCATTGTGCTAGAGAAACGCAGCTCATTATGAAAGTGCATTAATAATAAATCAACAGGCTTAAGTGATGGTTGGCACAGGCTCCAGAACGCTGGTGGGAAGCACGCCGTCCCTCTCACCCACTCCGTTCCTTCTGAAAATGTCACTTAGCCCAAAACTCAGAAGTTGTGTGTTCATGATGACAGAAATGAAAGGTGAACAGTTGCTTTTCCTCCTCTGGATTATTCAGGATTGTACTTTTCTGCCTGTTTTTCATGCAGTAAGTTCTTGGGGGCAAGGGCTTCTTTTAGCTCTTGTTGTCAGAGATGAGCAAAATGAGCAAATCATTAATTTTAGAAATAAATAACAGAAGACCACCTAGCAGGAGCTCTGCTTGGTCCTGCCGTGCTGGAAAAGAGCACTATTCGGTTGTATTCTTGGGGAGCAATTTGAAGTCATCCATGATTTCTAGTTCAGTGTTCATCAGCAAACTAATGGAGAAGAAAAATGCTTAGAAATGAGGCAATTTAGAAAAACAGGACCAGGTGTGATTTTTATCCTCAAAAACTGTGCCAGGAAAACTGTATCCTATAGTTTGGGAGTTAGATCTGAAGTTATCCTCACCGGTGGGTCCTAGGAGGGGAAAAACATCAAAAACAGAGGGCAGAATTCCCTTCCTCCCAGACCCTGGTGGCAGCTGTTGAGGTTTCTCATGTCTCTGTCCCTCTCCTTGGTCAGAAGTTGAGCCTCCTGCTACACGAGCGGGAAGGGTTGGGTACTTCTCAGGGTTTGCAGTAGTTTCTTCTGAAAGAATGAGAAAACAAGGAGCTTAAAATTGAGATTCCTCTGTTAGTTTTGTCATTTCTCTTCCCAACAGGCTGTCTCACTCAGGTTTTGGAAATGGAAGCAGAGTGATTCTGTCTTGGGAGATTAGTGGAGAAAATGCTGGAAGTACAATAATGCCTTTGTATAACTTACCTGGGGCATCACCCCCCCCCGCTCTGACTGTTACCTCCCAGCTCCTAGTGATCGTTTTGGATGTGTTGAGGGAGGATATTTTTAAAAGGGAAAGTTCAAAGTCTTGCTGTCCCAGCAGGGTGGTTCAGGGTTGCCATTGGCATTGTGTTGAGGGCTCTTAGTTAGACGGGCATCAAGAAGCGTGCCAGGAAACTTGAGGCATCAAGAAGTAAATGCCTGGCCTTCCATTTCCTTGCAAGGAAAATTTTAAGTATATGGCAATGTTACCAGCTTTTTAGCAGAGATTTCTGAGAATCAGTTTCCTAATTTTAAAGAGAACTGAGCTGGCACAAGCCCCTTTCTCCACTTTCACTCACGGGCCTCTCCTGCCTCCGAGGAGGAGCGGAGGCAGTGGCTGCTGATGGGCTTCTCACCGGTCATGGTGAGGAGCGTGGGGACACGTGTCAGACTCCAGCTCTTGGCAGTGGAATTCGGAATGATCCTTGCAGGGGAAGTTTTTCTGCAGCTTTTCTCCCATCCCCTCTCTCAGTAGGGTTTGTACCGTAGGACGGAGTAGAGAGACTTGCAGGGAAGGAGGACACGAGAGCTTGTCTTGCCAGATCTGGCAAACCCTCAAAAGTCATGAATTAAAACTACTCACGTTGCAACACCCATCTCGACACTTGCAAATAAAACATAAGCATTTCTGCCAAAACTGTGCCGTTAGTCTTTTGTTTTAATATATATATGCATGTATTATGGAAATCAGTTTGCAGGATTGCTGAGTTTATTTCCAGTCTGCCCTCCAACAGCGAGCAGGCTGCCAGGGTTTCCTGCAGTGCCAACGAGCCAAGCCA